ATAAGACCTGATTAAATTTTAATACTATCCAGCGTGTGGCATGATATTGTATAAGATAATATCATCCAATATTTGGTAATACACTATATAATACTAGATAGGTTAAAAATAAATATTTTTGTCAGAAATACCTTTTAATAATGAATTTACATAATTCTTCCAAATATATCAGATGATATTATTTTTTTATAGAAATATGTTGATCAGTGTGTCCAAAAAATATTTTAATTTTTATAAAAATAAAAATCTCCAATACTTTAAAAAATTATATATTGAAAAATTATTTTTTATTTTGATATACTAGTATTAAAATAATATATTAATTCTGCAGAATTGCATTGGTTAATACGTCAACCCCTTATCAGGCCTAATCTTACCCTCCTAGGCTTGATTAAGTTATACATCATTTTGATGTATAAAGGGATCTTGTTGTATACACTTATACTATACTATAGTCACACCAAACAACTAAAAATGTCATAACGTATAGTATAAGCTTATACAATCAGGCCTTATACATCACACCTAACAAGCCTTAACAGTGGTAACAAACGAAGATTTGGAGCTGCTTTGCGTGTATGACAGATAACATATTGTTTTCTTTTTAATTTCTTCTTCTTCTTCTTCTTTCATCTTTTTTTCAATTAGGGTTTTCTTCTAACCTTTTTTTTTCTTATTCGCACTCACCACCCGGAACTCAGCCATTCTGCGACAAAGTACGATATTTCATTCCTTTCTAAAGATTTTATGGATACATGTTCTTAGAATATGAATTGGTAATTATATTGTCCGCTGGGTGAAAATTGATTTACATTTTTTGAACCTTGTAAAAGAGAAATTCTTTGTCTTTGCTGTCCATAATTGTTTATTGGGTGTTTCTAACATTAGTGAAATTCTTGCCCCCTTTTTTTATTTACATCTTTTTTTTTGTGTGGTTGTATTTATTGATTTTATTTCTTTTGAAAAATTGAATGTGTTTTACGTTTACCTTTTTTTTAATAAAAAAATTATTTTAATGTTAAGCTACAGTTGCTATTGGTAATGGAATTGAATTGTTTCTTGGTATTATTTGTATTTGATTTCACAACAAGAATAAGAATTTTGAAAATTGTTAAAGAGAAAAATCAATGAATATATATATATAGGGAGTATGAAAATCTCTGGTACCTATTCTTTAACAACTTCTTTGTTTTAATTGTATTTTTAAATTTTTTAAAATATCTAAACATTGATTAAATGATTTATGTGGATCCAATGTCACTTAAATGATTTTAGACATTTGTCGCTGATTGTTTCATGTTTCTTTTTAATTGTGAAGATTTTAGTCCCTCTATGTTGATGTTCTTCATAGGTCACGACTAGGGGTATAAATGGTCCAAGTTAGGCCAAACTTTGGCTTTGATAGCCTAAGCCTATGCTTATTAGCCTATTAAATGCTTGATTTATAGATCTGATATGACCTATTATAAAAAACTAAAAAACGTAATACGACTTGTAAGGTTACCAAGTTGCAAACTAAAGTATATAGGCCCAAAATAAATTAAAACATAAAAGATAAAAAAATTTATTCGCAAAGATCACATGAAATAAATTTTCATTAACATCCCATGGAATAAATTTTCATTAATATCACATAAAATAATATTCATAAAAATCACATAAAAATGTTCATAAAAATCACATGAAAATTTCATATATGTATATATACATATAATTTGCACTTTCTTTACTAATTTAATTTTATATTATTTTAAATTTTAAATAAATATTTATTTTTTGTTAAAATAACATCAATCCTATTATTTTGAAAATTTTAAGTAAATTTTTTTCCTAATAGATATGTGTAATTACGAAAATATTTTGATAATTTAATATATCAAAATTTTTGGCCCTAGCTAAAATTAAACCCTGCCTCCGCTACTGATTTTAAAAGACGTAAAATTGTGTCATTCTAAGTGAAAAAAAGAGATAGATAAAGGAGGAGATAGTGGACAAAAAAATATAAAGGTGTGGATCTCACATCTTTGTGAGAGTGAAATGATACAAGTTGTGTCATTTAAAAGGACAAAAAATTTTCTCTTTATAATAATACTAGCAAATAATCTCACAACAGCATAAGAATAAATCAACAAATTAATAAAAACAACATATAAATAAAAAATAATATGCAAAAAGCTATCAGCAATATGAAAAAGAAAACAAATTTGTATATATGAAAAAGAAAACAAATTTGTATATATGAAAAAGAAGACATGTAATACTTGCCGTACGAAAAATTCAAAACACCGAGTGAAACAAAGAACACAAATGAGGAAAAATGAAGCAATTACAGACGAAACGAAGAAACTAAATTTTTACAGAACAATATTTTTTTAAAAAAAGAAAAACTTTGCAATCTGCGCCAAGTGCTGCGATTCCAACTTCACTACTGAAGTCACCACCGCAAGCTCTGTGTCACTCAACGTGTTAAACGCGAGCTCGAACTCCTTCGCTATCTCCTGAATCACATCGATCCTCTGCGAATACACCAAGTCACCAACAACACGTTCAGGAAGTTTAGAGAAGACCCATTCATCGATTTCCTCCACGGGAGAGGTTGAGGATTGGTTTCTTCCCTATCAGGTTAGGTATATGCATCTAAAACGCTCCATTTCCTTCCTTCATCGATTGTAAAGGACGTGATTTTAGGAGAGAGATAGACATAAGGAATGAAGATCGTGGAGAGAAATTGAGTGGTTTTTTTAATTTAAATTTTAAATAAAAAATATTATTTTATGTCTATCTCTCTTAAAATGATAGAACTTCATATCATTTAAAATGACAAACATTTTTTCTTATTTAATTAAGTCGAATATAACTCAACCTTAGTAACTACTGTATGTAATTACTAAGGTTGAGTTTTACAGTATCTTTTCAGCTATATGTTGTAATCCGTGAAAAATGAAAACTTTAATTTGGGTTTAGTTTTATCTTTTCAATTATTTCATGGGTTTGGGTCGAATTTCTCATCAGTTGAAATTGATGGATTTTTATGTTTTATGTGTATTTACAAATTTTGGAGAAAAAAAATTCTTTTCTTTTTATTAAAGTTGTATTGGTCTATGAAGCAACTATACTTCAAAAATTCTGACGTGTCGTGTCTGACACTCTCAGACACTTTGACACTCTCTGACACTCCAACACGCGTTATAGAAATTCAAAAAAAAGGTTCAAAGGTTAAGTTGCGTAGAGTTTTTAGTTCCGACTATTAGATTCATTAGATTACGATTATCATTTTATTGAGTTTAATATAAATATTTTGGATATCTTATGTTTCTTTGCAAAATTTATGAATATTATAAGTTTAGATACATTTTTTTTTAAATTATTGAATATCAAATATAATATATACTACATAAATTAAAAATATTATAAAATATCAAAATGTGTCCTAACATGTCAAAATTTAATATTTTTTAGAATTAGTGTATCGGAGTATCGTGTCGTATCGTGTCTTGTGTCAGTATAGGTGCTACATAGGTATTGGTTAATTGGAAAAGGGGATTTTGTAATTAATAATTATTATTTGTCTAATTGACTTGTGATATGACTCAAAATTAACATAAAAAAATTCTTTCTTCAAGTATTTTGCATAAAAAAGGAAAAAAAACTTATACTATAAACTCTCTTTTTTTGGTGGTAAACCTATAAAATCTTTTTTAAATAATACATTAAATTTAATCTAAAAGTTTTTTTTTTAAATGAATCCTGGTAATTTAGCTCCAATAAAAATAGAAGGTATTTTACATTAGGAAGAAGGCTAAGCAATGTGATAAGTAGGCATAAAGGTATTCATTAACCTATCTAAACCGATTCAAATCACGATAACCTAACCAAAAAATTGAAAATCGAATTAATTGAAAATCGGAAAAAACCAAAAACCAAAAAAAAAATCGCAAAATTTAATTGGATTGGATCAATTTTCGGTTTGGTTGGTGAAAATTGATTCAATCCAAACTGATCCAATGATTCCCCAACCCTACCCTCTTTGGAAGAGGTTTAAAGACTTAATCATGCACCCGCCTTGGATTAGTCCGTAAGGAACCTATGAGATTAGCGAAGGATAATCTCCAAAAAAAAAAAGAAATAGGAATATAGATGTTTCGTGCACACACAAAAAAGTTGATAAAATTCATTTATTTTCTTTCTCTCTCTTCTCGTTATTGGATTTCATCCACTTTTATGTATGTGCAGGAGAAAATATATTCCCTTTATAAATATAAAAAAAGGGTTTGATTTTTTTACAGTCAACGTAGATAACTTATCTACATTGAGCCCAAAACGACGTCGTTTTGATGCGGAAATCAAGGTATTTTTGTAATTATAAGTTATTTCAGGGTTATAATCGTCTTTTTTATTTAATTTTTTAATTTTTCAACCCAAAACGACGTCGTTTTAGCAACTAGATAACCTACATTCACTTTAGAAACATTAAAGCCATAAAAAAAAAACCATAAAACAATCTTATTATATTTTACTTTTGGTTGTGTTAGTATATATAATCAATTTTTTTTAATACTATAATCAATTTTATTTTAAAAATCAAAAGAAATAACCAATTGCTTAGTTCATAAGGACAACTTCACCCTTTCAAAGACAGCCATAACCACTACTACACAAGGCCACCACTATGTTCTTCCATTGTAAAGTTCACCTAACTGCTTATTAGCACTGGGATTCTTATAGTTTTCCCCCTTCTAATCACGGTAAAGAAGTCTCAGTCACGTGAAAGCTACGTTGATGATGTCCTCTGGTTAAGATAAACAACTTGGAAAACGCATTTGTATATCAGCAAAATCTTTTTTTAGTTCCTATTGAAATCAGCCATATTTAAGGATAAATTTAAGGCATTATGCATATTCTTGAGGGAGAATAGAGATACTGTGTGTATATACTAAAACATCTCTTGTTTAAGAGAGCACACTTAGAGGAATGTGTCATAGAAATCTACTATAAAACCATTAATGCACTTCGTGTTGTTTTTTAAGTTGATATGTTTTGCACATAGGATACATATTCATATGATCTATCACCTTTATTCCCGACAACGCATTTTATTATTCGGAATCCACAAACTGGTCATGCTGGACTATAGAACAAGCAGCTAAGTATTACAAGGGTCCTTTGCAGTTTGTACAACACTACAACTAATTTATATGGATATGATCATAAATTTCAATGACCAATTTCAATTAGCTATCAGCCAGAGAGGAACCAAGCCCAATCTCAAAACCAAATGTAATGCAACTCAACTCATGCTTGTTTCCATCATACATCTTCATCTTCAAAGAATAAGAACCCTGCAAATGCAATACATGGTAAGAGCTATGACGTTGAAAATAAAAATAACAGACTAGCTTTAAACAGGAAAGGTCACAACATTGTATAATAAAACGAGAGTAGATCCTCTCATGTTAAATAAAACATGACATGGCCATGTGAGGAAATCATAACCAAACAAAGGTGGATTAATGATTATAAGGGAAATGAGAGAAAAAATATTGAAAGAGATAGTTACAAAATCATCACCTTTGATTCACCTTTATATGATTGTGATTTCCTCACATGACCATGTAATGCTTTATTTAATATGAGAGGATCCATTTACTAATAAAACACACTTAACAACATAATCCCCTGCTTTACCCTAAACTTAAATGCCTTCAGGGATGCCCATTGGCAATTACTCAGTTGGAACAATATACCATTTAAAAGTATAAGTCTAATTTAAAAGCTGATACAATTAAGGAAACCAAAAATGAGCATTGAACATGCTTATGGCAGAAGGGGTTAAATTAAAGGACAATGAACTATGAATTTGTCAACACAGCAATATAGCATTCACAAAATTTGAAAAATAAAAATAAAATAAACATTGATGAAAACATTAGTTGTTGTTGCCTTGCTGGACTAAATGGCAATAACGTTTTCTAAATGGCAACAAACAATATTTCAACACACTGAAACTGTCATTTCTATATTGGTTAAAGGAGCTAGTTATGGATCATTCATGAGGGCATTCACTAGGAAATTCATGTCATGTCAACCATATTGTGTTCACCCTCCAATCCCCATATATCAACAGAAAAGTATTCCAAATGATAAAACAATTAGCATACTAGTACTACTGTCTATGTATTGAACAAATACAACATGCTAAGACCCATCATCAGATTCCAGTTGTGTTCCAACAAATGTCAATCCCTATCTTAAGATGCCTATCTATATGCCATAACATGATTACAAGGGTCTCTTCCAAAGTTCGAATTAACATAGGAGAAGCCAACAATTAAGCAAGCGAAATTTTGGATCAGCTTCAAATCTGTACTTGCAAACATAAATAATTTCCTCTTCCCCCAAAATACATGCACGCATGCACAATCACTTGAAGGAATGAACAAAATATTGACTTACAGGTGGAGTGAATCCAGGTAAAAATTGTGAATGAGCAATCACAAAATCACCAACTGAAACTGGGCAAGATGTTTCTCCACAAAGGTCATGTGTCTCACTATGTATATGCCATCCAAAATACGACACATCAATCACAAGTTTCCCTCCAGATAATGCTTGACCTGAGCCATGAAATGCATGGATTAGATAAAAGAGGCCAATTCTTAATCCATCAAAACCTCATCTATCTCTACCAGGAATGTACCATTACACTAGATTCACATTCAAATTTCCAAATAACATTACATTAGATGCTCAAAATAGACACATAAATAAGTAAAACGACAAAATACAATAACCATTCGCGTAAAGAAACACAAAATACATGAAAATGCATATAATAACAGAAATTAAAAAAAGAAAGAAAAAAGAATAAAGGAAACACGTTAACATACGAAAAGCATATGAAGTTACATAGTACCTGTAGTAGCAGCAATGCTGAATGTAGCAGGTTGGCCTCTTGCAATTGGATCAGGAGATATTTCAACTCCTTTGACCTCAACATCATAGACAGCTTTCTTATCTGGCATAGCAAATTAAGTAATATTTAAATGAGCAATACAACAAGAATATACATCAAAACATTTGTACATTATTAAATTGTAAAACTGATCAAAGAGAAGAATCCTTGACAACCCAAAATAAATAAATAAATACAAAACTAATGAAAGAGAATCTACACTTGAAATAACTATTTAACATGTTAATTCCAGTTAGCAAAACTGATTATTCAATTAAACCAAACTCAGTTCAACTCTAATGATACATATAAAAAGCTCCCCAATGGTAAGTTTCCAAATTGAATAAAATTGATGGCACACAACAAATAAACATATAATATTCAGGCATGATGGTTGATGAAACCCAAAAACAAAACAAAAAAATAAGATAAAAAAATTTCTGAACACAGAAACCCAATTATTTCATCAACAGAAGCTACAGTTTTCTAGCGAAAGATTAAAACTTTAAAACACCCCTTCAAATCCTCGATCAAAGAATCAACATTCAACCAACTAGATAACAAAAATAAATTAAAAATCAAAACTTTGGTAGATATCTGCACAAACTAATGAAAGGGGTTAAGGAGAGAAACCGCAATAGTGAATGTCGGTGGCGTTGGCAGCGAACGCGTGAAGAAGACACAGGGTTGAAAAGAAGAAAAGCTTGAACCTTATCATCTCCATGGATTTAGATCGTTGTTTTGAACGTGTGGTGTGGCAATTGAAGATGAACAAGTTAAGGGTAACACTCTCGATGATAGCCTAACTGGCTTTGCTTATTCAGGTTAACTTCCCAATATTATTCTCTCAAGGACAGATAAACAAGACTAAAAAAAAAAAGTACTTAAATATAAAACTGTTAATTTTAAGAAAAGTAGTGTTTTAAATTTGGAAAACCGTTTATCATTTTAAACGACATAAAGTTATGTCATTTTAAGAAAGATACAGACATTAAAATTTGAATTTTAAATTAAAAAAAATCAAGCATTTTCTCTCTCCCATGATTTCTATTTTTCTGTGTCCATCTCCCCCCTAAAATGACATAACTTATGTCATTTAAAATAACAAACACCAAACCCTTTAACTTTTATTTAGCACGGGAAAACATTTTCTCCTTTTATCAAATATTTTCCATTAGCATAATTGTTACTTTTTTTTCGTTCAGTCGTTTTCTTTTTATATAATTCCGAGTTTTAATTTAAGAATATATTTTCTTAAAATTTATTATTGAAATTCGTGATTTCATATATAATGAAATGAGGCAAAAAAAATTAAAATATTATTTTAATAAATAATTACGAATACTTTCGAAACTATATACGGATTTATTGTACTCATTTACGTCCAAATTAGGCGTGACTATTCACTCCCACGTTAGGCGTGACTCCCAAGGCATTCACGCCTAAATAAGGAGTGACTCGTCTCGTATTGACACGTGACACAAAAAATTAAAAGATTAACCGTAAAACTTTAAAACTTTATAAGGCCATAACTTTTGACTCAGGTATCCGAATGAGGTAATTCTTTTTTTGATTCCACATAACTTTTCGAGATCTACGCAATAACATCTCATTTGATATTTTATCTCTCACAAATAGAATTCAAATTTACAACGCAAATTTACAACAACGATACTATAAAAATGGCACCAAGTGGATTAACTCATCTATAAATAAGATGGCACCAAATTTCTTATTAAATACAAAACGCAATCAGTTCCTATTAAATACAAAATGCAATCAACTCCTATAACATTAAATTCAAAATTCAAATAACCGCCAGAAAATTTATTTGAATTGGCGACAATCTGTAACCAACTCATATAATTACAGTGCAATCAGCTCCTATTAAATACAAAACACAATCAACTCTATTAAATACAAAAAGCAATCAACTTATTGGAGGTTATTTGAATTTTGAATTTAATGTTATAGTACCATTATTGGGCATGAATAAGTGCAATATATTCATAATTAGGTTCAAAACGGCAAATTATTAGTAATTATTTATTAAAAAAGCAATATTTTAAAAAAAAATTCATCTACAAAGTGTTTAAAAAAATAGTGTACAAGGTTATTTATTTAATTATTAAAATATATACAAATTTATATAATATTCTACCAAGTGTTTTGAATATTTATTTAATTATTTTCTTTATTAATACAGATTTTTGAAATTGATTTTTGAGTTTAAATCACAAATTAAATCTTTATTTTGTTTTTCTTATTAATAAAAAATTTTAAATTTTTTTTGGTAATACACTATGTAATTCAATTATTGCAAATTTGAATTGTGTTTGTGAGAGATAAAATATATCAAATGAGATATCATTGCGTATATCTCGAAAAGTTATGTGGAATCAAAAAAAGAATTACCTCATTCGGATAGCCGAGTCAAAAGTTATGGCTTTCCAAAGGTTCATGGTTCGTAAGTTGACTTTTTTTTGCCACGTGTCAACACCAGATGATTCACGCCTAAATTAGGCGTGAATGCCTTGGGAGTCACACCTAATTTGGGCATGAATAGTCACGCCTAATTTGGGTGTGAATGAGTGCAATAGATCCGTAGATAGTTTCGAAACAGCTATGTATTCGTAATTATTTATTAAAATAGTAATATTTTAATTTTTTTGTCAATGAAATGAAGTAGTCGGAATTTAGTATTAAAATATTTTCTTGAAGTTGATGCATAAAAAATTAAAAGAAAAAGTCGGTGGAGTTTTCTTTTTAATAAGAAAATATTATATTATAAATTTTATGTTTATAAATTCTTATAAATCAAATTATGTATTCTGAAAATTACATATTTAATATTTATGTTTTTCAAAATACATAATATCGTTTGTAAAAATTTATAAATAAGAAATTTGTAGGTATAACTCTTTCCTTTAAAAATCATTCATAAGTTGATAAAATCCACATGGCATTTCACATTGTATGCTTTGAAAATATAAATAAATAAATCACGCAGCAATAGATGATGTTGTAAATTTATATAACCCCTTACAAGTGTTCGTTTGTTTAAGAGTTTAGAAAGGTCAAAACCTCATGGACTATTTGGTGTGATGTATAAGACCTGATAGTATAAGCTTATACTATATGTTATGACATTTTCAGTTGTTTGGTGTGACCATCGTATAATATAAGCTTGATGTATAACTTAATCTGGCCTAAGTAGGGGATAAGGCCTGATAAGGGATTGATGTAATAACATTGTTGACTAGTGTAATTCTCAAAAATTAATATATTATTTTAATATTAATTAAAATAAAAATTAATTTTTCAATAAATTAATTTTTAAAATATTGAATATTTTTATTTTTATAAAAATTAATTTATGTTATGGACACACTGATCAATAAATTTTTATAAAAATTAATATCATATGACATTTTTTGAAGAATTATATAAATTCTTTATTAAAGGATAATTTTATTAAAAATTTATTTTTATCCTATATAGTATTATACAGTGCATTACCAAATATTAGATGATATTATCTTATACAATATATTATTTTATACAATACCGTACCAAACGCTGGATAGTATTAAAATTCAATCAGGTCTTATACAATCAGGCCTTATACTATCAGGTCTTACACTATCAGATTTTATCCTATACTATGCACCAAACATGCCCTCAGTACCGGTGGTTGGAACTAGGGTTGGCAAAATGGGCCAACCAGACTCAACCTGATTCAACCCGTGTTCAATCCAAAAAAAAAACGAGTCGGGTTAGGGTTGGCTCGAAAAATAAACGAGCCAGAAAACTCAACCCAACTCAACCCGAGTCGAGTTAGGGTTAGCTCGAAAAAATGAAAAAATAAATAAATTTCCATTGATGCTATAACTTCTAGATTTTTTTCCTAAATTATTAATTCATTCAATACAAAGACATTATATAGATAAACCATAGAAAATTCTTTTTGCATTTGGACTTGGACTTATTGGCAGTTGGCACCACATTCACACTGTCACACATACTATAAAAAAAGGTCCTTAATGCACGGTTTTGGACTTATTAGCAGCTGCAGGGTATTTTCGTTTGGGTCTTTGGAATTGGGATTTTAGGTTTTAGCTTTCCACTTTATCTTCATTAATTTTTATACTTTTATATTAAAAAAAACCATAACCCGCGAGCCAACTCGTTTGACCCGTGGGTTGCTCGGTTTTTTCGAGCTGAAACGAGTCGGGCTGACTCGAGTTACTAACTCATTTTTCCTAACCAAACCCAGCTCATTGTAGCCGAGTTACGAGTCAATCCAATGGGTTGGCTCATTTTTGCCAAGCCTAGTTGGAACTAATGTTCCAATTCTGAAAAGAAGTTTAGATCAAAATTGGATAATGCTTATACCGCCAGACTCAGAATTATGTTGAAATGGAATTTAATAGTATTGGTCCCGTTTGGATAGGCTTTTGAAAAGAGGACTTTTTATGAGTTGCTTTTTTAAAATAACTTTTTTTAAAAGTCAAAGTTATTTTGTGTTTGGATGTAATATTTGAAAAATGCTTTTAACTAAAAATTTCGTTTGGATGTTAAAATAAAAAAGCACTTTTTAATTATGCAATTACTATTATGCCCTTTGCTCTTTGACACAGTGAGAGTATTAGACGAAGAACCGAACAACAATGGCTTCCCCAAACACAATTTCAGGCACAACAGAGCACTCCCTTCAAATCACAAAATTGTAAAAATCACCAGCAACCTTGCATCAAGCACCAAGAATGATTCTCCTAAATTTTACAGAAAAAGAAAGAAAGAAAATAACAGCAAGATTTGATTTTATGCACCACATATGAATCTCATCGCTACAGTAAGAATCCCTAAATAAGATGTAAGGAAATGGAAAAAAAGCAGATGAACAGTGAAGAGAGAATACCAAGAAAAGAATGGAAGTAAGTGTGGCAGAGAAGGAATAGAAAAAATGAAGGACTAATGTGGATGGTAAAGGAAAGATGAAGAGTGGTAAAAGCAAGAAACCCAATAACAATTTGTCTCAACCTCAGAGGTTCTCGTCTCCGACGACAATCAAGAGGTCTCGGTCTTATCAGAGAAGGTTTTACTGAAATGCATATTATTAAATCTTGTGAACTGAAGATTTGTGAGTTCACTTATATAGTACATGGTGGAGAACAAAACTGAAGAAGACTATACATAAAGCTTTAAACTAATTACAACTACACTGTAAACAGAAACATAACTAACTCCATGAAACTAGGGACCAATGGAATCAATACACGTGGACGTAGAACTAATACACGTCATCTACTACATACTACAGCTACGTGATCTCAGTCTGTGAAGAAGCTTTATTTTGAGTTATATGCGTTGACACCCCCACAAGCGGGACGATGGATATCACAGAGGCCCAGCTTGGCAATCATATCAGCAAAGGGAGCTGGGTGGAGAGCTTTAGTAAACAGATCCGCCAGTTGAGCAGAAGAAGCAACTGGAAAGAGACGCAATAGACCAGACTGGAGCTTCTCTCAAGTGACATGAATGTCAATCTCGATGTGCTTGGATCTTTCATGGAGGGTAGGATTTTTGGCCATAAAAAATAGCAGACACATTATCACAATAGACAGGGGCAGGAGTGGAACATGAAATACCAAAATCTCGAAGAAGGTAAGTAAGCCACTGAAGTTCACATGTCATGGACACAAGAGCTCGATATTCAGCTTCACTAGAGGATCGAGAAACTGTAGATTGTTTCTTGGAGCGCCATGAAATTAATGAAGAGCCAAGAAAAGCACAAAAACCAGTAATCGAACGTCTTGTATCTAGGCAACAAGCCCAATC